GCAAAATCAACGTGCTTACCGCAAAGTCAATAATGTATGTGCTCTTCCGCGAGCTCTGAGATTTAACAACGTAACGAAAAGAGAAGGGAAACAGTGGCGGCACTTGGTCACGATTTCCGAGGTGTTTGTCTCGCGCCGCGCCGAAGGCGGGACAAAAGAGGGGACGCGAATAAGGGGTCGCGACTGAAGAAGGGCTGAAGTGAAGGTAGATTGCCGGCTTGAGTTGGCTTCTAGCCTAGATCTGACTCCGCAGGTGATCCGAGGTTTTAATTGGGATCCAGCTCGTGGGAGAAATTCACGCAGTCGTCCGCGTTCTTTCGAGACTAATGATCCTTCCTTCTCGTTTGATTAATAACTCGTACGCGGGATGACGCTTCCGTCCAGATCTATGACACGTTATGTGACGATAATGATGGAGTCGTGTTATCGATTCGCCGACGTCTACTGTCCTACTGTCGCTTCCCGACGAGCGGAGACGGTAATTAAATGTTATTAATAATAAATGAGATACTTCATCCAGATTAAAATATTAATTCAATGCGAAACTATACGGAATCGTGTTTTACGTGATTTTTGCGAGTTATAGGAATAAAATCAATAAAAGAGACGCCTTGGATAAAATCATAATTTTCGAAAAGATAGAGATTTAAAATTATTAACTTATCGCGATTAAAGTCTTAATATCGATAATATCTTTATAAAAATATTAATACAATTTTAATGTGTGGAAATTTTTTTTAAACCTTAATTTTTAAATATATTTAAATTTGATATAAGAGTTCCTTCGCTCGAAATCTAGAAATATATAGAAGACTTGAAGAGAAATAGAATAGACAGAGAATAAACTCGAGCGTCACACAAGTCTGTTTGTATCGATAATGCGTACAATAGAATGTTACTTTTAAATTTGCACGGCGGTTTGATTGGATGAGTCATCGATCGATTTTCCGCGCGTGAAAGGCGTCGGTGGCAAGGTGATAAATTTCAATAACGTATAACCTTGACCTTCCTTCATCCATCCTGTCTATCACCACGGGAAGTCAACGAAGAAGTCATATGGCACGATTTTAGCCTCGAAAATCCGGCATCGAAATGTAAACAAATGAAAAAAAAAAAAACCGAATATTGCGATCGATCAGTAAGTAGTGTTTTTCATAATATAACAGAAATATTAATTTTTAAATAGAATTTTTTTCATTGAAAAAAGATAATAAAATTTTTCTGTAAAAAATTTATATATTTCTTTTCTTATTGCTCGAATGATTGAATGTTCTTGTAATAATTTATACATTATTTATAAATATATTTAAACATTTCGAAACACATTTGAATGAAATCGGACTCTTGTTAATATCTCGTGTTAATATCGCTCGAAATGAGAAAATCTCATATAATAAACGTCGAGCGTATTTTCTGCGTTTGTAAGAGTAAAAAATAATGAGGTAAGATAGCACGTGTTTGTATGTGTAGGCAACTAAAATAGTATACGTCAAGAACATCCGAGCTGGTTTCTACAGTCCCCGTGTGAGAAGCGTTGTAGCAGGCTCAATATAGTCAACAAAGACTGTCATAATAAAGCCTCTACAGTTGCTACTCCCGCTTGATTATTTATAGGAAAGAGTTCACCCGAGAAAAAAATTATACCGTTACTTTCCTACTCTCTCGCTTAATAACAATGAACGTATAGACATAAAGGTTCCGCGTTTAATTGACGCGAACTGCAATCTCTTCCGAGAGATTCGCTTGGTAGCAGACAAGATCTCTTTGACCCCCGACCCGTCTATCCCTCCCTCGGCGAGTTCGAGGTGCGTAAATTTTCAAGACGATGACGAGTGCCGCGACGCCAGCGCGTCGAGACAGGTGTCGGAAAAATGAAGAAACGCGCCTCTGACTCGGCAAAAATTACACGCAATCCGAGGAATGCAATCCATCAACGACAGATCCTTGGGTGCGTCAAAGGGGACCGGAAGGGATAAATACCCCGGCACCACGAGGAGGATGATACAAGAAGGATGCGACGAGAGTTCACGCTTGCGCGATGTGTCGCGCTCCTTGCATTCATCCAATAAAACTTACCACTAATAAAATAATGAGCGAGGAAAATTTTTCATGGCTAATAATTAATACACGTCGTATATAAAAGAGTAAATCATGCGCCGTGTAAGTAATAAACATGTTTCAAAAATCTCCGTGGTAACGATAAAAGCATAAATTACGCTGCATTTTCTCTCGCGAGTAAAACTTTGCGAGGGAAAATTAAATACCGAGTCGCTGATAAATAGAGAACGGCACGGGGGAACGACGGCACCTCACGGTGGCTCTCTTCCGGGCCCGTCTATGTCAGAGTGAATCACTCAGCGTGAAAAATGGCGACGAAGGCGCACGGGAAAGGGAGCCAGCCAGCTTTATCCGTAGCCATAGTCGAAGTATGGCCGGTTATGTTATGTAAGAACGACGAAAATATCGCCGAATGAGTGACAAGCACTTGGCCTATTCGGCTGTATTCGTCGTTAGACAATTCAAAATACACGATTATTCGCAAAGGTGTGCCGATCTCTCGTTGGATTGATCACTCAAGCGAGATAATACGCGGAATGAAAATTTGATCTAGAAATTATTCTATCTACGCAGATAAGATTAGTGTCAATCAAGTAAGTCTTTCTAATATCGAGAAGTTTACGAGAGAAAGATTTCTCTGAAATTGAGAATGATTTTAGTAAAGTTATTAAAATTATCGAATGTCCCTTTGAACTTCTTTGGTAAAATAGGGAAGAACATTGTATCTTAGCGAAAAAATGTTGAAAGAAATTTTTCCTGTATTTTTCAAATTAATCCTGATTATCTTGACACCTAAACTCCGAATTGGATTAAAGCGAAGTTCCCTTGAAATCAATTAAGGAATGTGATCACGTTAGTTTATTTTGAAGCTACCGTTCGCGTGCTACCGGATCAAATATTTCGGTTCTCTTATTAGATTAAGTAAACTTCACACCGCGCGACGCATCCAAATCGCCTGACACTCGAAAACTAACGACAACGAAATCCAGTTCTGACGGCACACGACGAACTTCATGTCCGACTGTCAATCGCAGCGGCCGATTTGGCACGGATCCCACGAAAAAAAAGCTGAAAGTTACGAAGATAGATTTTTACCTATGACTACTGAAAGAAATATTCGCAGGGTGGCAAACTAAGTAGATTACAGCGAGCAAGCGAAGATGATGATGTTTATCATTATGTTTAATTATATTAATACATATATGTCGAATTTTCAAAATATGTCTTAGCATAAATTTAGAAAAAAAAAAAAAACATTTTTTTATTTCATAAATATGTAATTAAAAATGACAAATTAAAAATGTAAAAAATACAAATTGTACGTATCTACGTACGTATTTTATATTCTTTGAAATGTACCGATGTTGGATCGACACGATTGAAAATACTCTGCTCGACGCGATACTTCCTGACAGATTAAAACATCGAATAAGAAAAGGCAAGAACCAACGCTCTTTATTTACCGATCTACGAAGCGGTAAATAAAAATCGGCAAGTATCCAGCCGACGATGTGAGAAGCAGGTCACGCGGAAAATCCAAGATCGATGAGAGAAACGTGCGAGCGGAGGATATGTTCGACGCTTTGAGATAGAATCTTCAAATTCCCGGGCGCAAAACGTGGCGCAAACGCCGGGAAACGATTTCGTGCCCCGAAGATTGTAACCTTCGGGCGATGATACAGATTTTCATCGGGAGGAAGAGTCATTGCACTTTATGCTGAATGGGCAGCGAGTCAACAACCCGTCCTCTCCCCCCCCCCTCTCTCCTCTTTCTCTATCCGTGTATATGCGTTTACACCACACCTTCATGGTCTTTTCGCTCCTCTCTCTTTCTCGTTCTCCTCCCGCGAAGAGGAAAA